CGTTATTCCCATCCGATTTCGCTACTGCAAAGCAAATGGACGCCATTACGAATATGAAGTTCTAAAATGAAAAAAAGGAAAAATAATCACCCGCTTTATTCAATTATCCATATGTATACCATATGCTAAGTACATACGTACATATATATGTGCCAAGTACATGAACATGCATGTATTTAGAAGATGCTTAAGAAATATTAAAAAGTCGCCTTTTTTAGTGGTCTTTAAATTTTAGTAACACTCAATTGGGTATTTCCTTGACAGCACGAGTGCTGTTTGCTCTATTTTCACGTTCTCTAAGTGGCTTGGTGCAACAGCAGGTAACCAACAAATGTTGCCACACTCACAAGCATTCATCATACGTTATGTGACTCAATGATCCAAGTCACATTGCACGTTTCCAGTTAAATGTGGGCGGCACTCTTAGTTTGTGGCTCAAGTTGAAAGTATTTTGTTGGAAGAAATACTACCCTCTAAGGGAGAGGCTTGGCCATCATTTGGTTTGCCGAGTGTTTGATTGCTTGGGTTAACAAGTTTTCTGATGCGTATGCACGTAGTAAAGAACGTACATAAAAAGTTTCAAATTTCGATTAAAGGAAGTTCGATCCATAAAAACTTTTTGAGTAACTCAATAATATTTTTTGGTTATTTTGCATCATCATGCTTAAATCGTAGCCAAAGCGATGCAAGTAAATATTGAATGTGTGTAATACTGGTTTTTATTTAAACTTTTCATAATATTTTGTTGTTTGTGTTGAAAATTTTGGTTGGTATATTTCAAATTAGGAAAATCGAGGTATGAAATATAGCAGATATTGGCTTACTGCTACGCTAATTATATTCTGAGTGTATAATACTAATGTGCCCCGATTTTAGAGGGGATTCATTTTACATATTTTTGAAGTGAAACTTCTTTAGCGGCGGTTGGTTGGTTGGGAGCAAATTGGCAAATTCAACGCAAATTGGCCACGGAAATGGACGGGGCTGAAACAAGTGCTTCCTGAGTGTATGTATATGGTATGAATTTAACAACAACTTGCTAATAACAGATTAAAGAATAACACTTAGACCGATATAATAATAAAAGTAAAGGTAAGTACGTACATAAATAAAGAAAAGGATAAAGGCAAAGGTAAAAAAAACCAAAAAAGCAGAAATGAAGATCAAAGTAAATTTAAAAACTTTACTTATATAAGGGCAAAGGTGAAGGGGGAATATGTAGATGAAGAAACTACAAGCATAAAAGTATAAACAAAGATAAATATAAAGAAAAAGNCCTGAAAAAGACTTGCGTGCCAAATGAACTTTTCTCTGAAAGTTTAAACTACTGGCATATGTAAATAAAAATTAAAATTTAAAAACTAGTTATTGCACCTAAAGTAAAATCTGTGGAAAATTAACAATAAAATACTTTTTTCGCAAAATCTATAAACGACCCTTTTATTTCTCAAAAAAACCGGGGTACCAGTTATTGTCCCTTACAACGTTATTCCCATCCGATTTCGCTACTGCAAAGCAAATGGACGCCATTACGAATATGAAGTTCTAAAATGAAAAAAAGGAAAAATAATCACCCGCTTTATTCAATTATCCATATGTATACCATATGCTAAGTACATACGTACATATATATGTGCCAAGTACATGAACATGCATGTATTTAGAAGATGCTTAAGAAATATTAAAAAGTCGCCTTTTTTAGTGGTCTTTAAATTTTAGTAACACTCAATTGGGTATTTCCTTGACAGCACGAGTGCTGTTTGCTCTATTTTCACGTTCTCTAAGTGGCTTGGTGCAACAGCAGGTAACCAACAAATGTTGCCACACTCACAAGCATTCATCATACGTTATGTGACTCAATGATCCAAGTCACATTGCACGTTTCCAGTTAAATGTGGGCGGCACTCTTAGTTTGTGGCTCAAGTTGAAAGTATTTTGTTGGAAGAAATACTACCCTCTAAGGGAGAGGCTTGGCCATCATTTGGTTTGCCGAGTGTTTGATTGCTTGGGTTAACAAGTTTTCTGATGCGTATGCACGTAGTAAAGAACGTACATAAAAAGTTTCAAATTTCGATTAAAGGAAGTTCGATCCATAAAAACTTTTTGAGTAACTCAATAATATTTTTTGGTTATTTTGCATCATCATGCAGAAATGAAGATCAAAGTAAATTTGAAAACTTTACTTATATAAGGGCAAAGGTGAAGGACGAATATGTAGATGAAGAAACTATAAGCATAAAAGTATAAACAAAGATAAATATAAAGAAAAATATGACAATGAGGATACCGATAAAAGTATAGATGAAGATAGAGAAGAAAGATTAAAATAAACGTAATTATAGAGAAAAGCATATAGATAGAGACACAGAGAATCAATCTGGGATCTATTTTGGGATTTTAGATATTTTCGGGATTCTCGGGACTTATCGATATAATATAATTATAAACCTCTTTAAATCTGTTTTATTTTTTGTGAATAAGGCCATTAGTATTCAAAAATCCACATTTTACACTCAAATTCTTAAAACTTGCTCTAAAAGTTGTTGTTTAAATTTAGGCATTTAAAGAGAGGTAACCAGGTAACTATTTTTCTATCACAATGAGTTCAAATTTGCACACGGTGTTAATAAAAATAAACACTGCCTGTTTACTTTTACATATCAAATTTGTAATTTTTAGAGCAAAATTACATTTCAATGNATGACAATGAGGATACCGATAAAAGTATAGATGAAGATAGAGAAGAAAGATTAAAATAAACGTAATTATAGAGAAAAGCATATAGATAGAGACACAGAGACTCAATCTGGGAACTATTTTGGGATTTTAGATATTTTCGGGATTCTCGGGACTTATCGATATAATATTTTTATTTTTTATGAATAAGGCCATTAGTGTTCAAAAATCCACATTTTACACTAAAATTCTTAAAACTTGCTCTAAAAGTTGTTGTTTAAATTTAGGCATTTAAAGAGAGGTAACCAGGTAACCAATTTTCTATCACAATGAGTTCAAATTTGCACACGGTGTTAATAAAAATAAACACTGCCTGTTTACTTTTACATATCAAATTTGTAATTTTTAGAGCAAAATTACATTTCAATGTTTCAATTGATTAAATTTGTTATTAGGAAATATATTTTTTCGTTAAAATTTTTGTAATTTTTAGCATTTCAGTTGTATATTTATGCGTATATTTTAAACATCTCATGTTCAAAAATCTAATCTTGAGCATATTATGCGTATATCTACGCAGATTCTGGANACCAGGTAACTATTTTTCTATCACAATGAGTTCAAATTTGCACACGGTGTTAATAAAATTAAACACTGCCTGTTTACTTTTACATACCAAATTTGTAATTTTTAGAGCAAAATTACATTTCAATGTTTCAATTGATTAAATTGGTTATTAGGAAATATATTTTTTCGTTAAAATTTTTGTAATTTTTAGCATTTCAGTTGTATATTTATGCGTATATTTTAAACATCTCATGTTCAAAAATCTAATCTTGAGCATCTTATGCGTATATCTACGCAGATTCTGGATGAAAAATAAACAGCTTTCAGTAGTAGTTTTACATGCACTTTTTAGAGTGTTAATAAAAATACTCCTACGATTATTCCGGAGTATACACTGAAGAGCAAAACTGGAACTGGAATCGAACGTAAAGTTAAGTTTGTGGTAATGTATTTGTTCAGTTTATTTACTTTATGGTAATTCAAACTTGCATTTCGCCTTACCGATGTTTAACTAAACGTTTGACCATAAACGTTTTAAGATTCGCATATGGAAACTCAGAAAAAAATTACCAAACAAAAATGAACTGGATTGTTCTTTGTTGTTTTGTTCTGAATTTTATAATTCAAAGAGGAGTTCTGGCTCATTTCCTGCAATTTTGTAATCAAGGCGCGTAGAATTTTCGCTGTGAGTGCATTAAGTGCACATACCAAGCAAAAAGAACTTAAAACTTTTGCAAAACGGTCAGAAAGACCACGCTGTAAAGAAAGAAATCATATCGGCCAAATTTCCGTTTTATGGTTATCTAAACAAGCGATAAAAGGGCGGACCTCAGTCTGCAAGATCAAGAGGCCACAAAAAATTGCAATTTGCCAGGCTAGGCATATTGGAGGGTCTCTAAATGCCAATAAACTTTGGTTCCAAATCAAAAATTACTGTTTTATCACCACAAAACAAGTGACTGGACATTACGTAAGACATGGGAACAAGTTATTCCAGCACAAAGATAAAGAGGAGAAAGCCTGTTTTGACATCCAGAAAAATTTTAGTCCGAAACGCAATTTTACTAAGAAAAAACATGGGATTGGTATTATTTTGAAGCGGGNTCTAAAACCTGTGCGAAAGTATCCCAAGATGACCATAAAAGCTGAAATATTCAAATTAGTTATGGGCAATTTATTAAAAGTCAAGCAAATAGTAAAATTTTCTGTCGGGTGCAAAACTGGAACAATCTAGTTGCTACGTTCTTTTGCAGTTTTCTTCTTTATCTGCTTGTATTAATTATTGTTTTTATGGCCTTCTGATGAAATAAACATTGGAAATGTGAATTCCGAAACTAGATTACAAAAACTTATTAAATATATCGCAAGAAAATTCACATTATGTATTACTGTTCCGGTTTTGCTCCTCAGTGTAATTCTCAAGCCTTTTTGATAACGTCTTATGCATTCCATTCAGCATTAAGAGAATTATTTGCACTGTAGAAATTTATCTAAGCTTAGTACTAACAAAAGGAATACAATCTGATCGTCGAGAATCTCACCCATGCTTTAAAGGATAAAGAATTTGAACTAATGGGTCTGTATTATTTCAAGGAGACAGTCAGACAGAATCATTGTAACCGATTCTTCAATTATATATATACTTACAAATAAATATCGAATTAACTTGAGAAATCGAAACGAAGTTAAGAGCTACATATACTTAAATAGTTGGCGTATACATACATACACACTCGTATTAATACCTGCATGCTCACCTTCTGCTTTGATTCAGCTGAATATTCCTCTCATCCCGCCATGTCGAAATGTGATGCCTCAATGTGTTGCGCACTTCGGAGTTTAGAAAACAGTAGAATAGTGATACCGCGAAACCCTGTTCAAGAAGTACAAATAAAACAATAATTGAAATAAGAACTAAGCAGGTAAAAGCAAATTTAGGTAAATTATAAACAGGATTAACGACCGTTTCCTATTTATGTATTTCCTATACATGTCGTTTTATTGTAAATACTCCACATGCAATTTCAACAATATTCCTTTTAAGGTTGGTTTTGCTTACCTGGGTACTGAGCAGCAGAGCTCGCACAACCGCGAACATGTTACTCATAACACCACTCTCGCTGGGGCCAGCTAATACCACCAAGTAGGTTATGCCAAAGAGCGGAATAAGAACCAGCAATGCCTTAGCGGCTTTACGATACTGACGCGTTTCCACGGTGTTTGCCGAGCGGAGCTTTGTTATTAACACCTGAAAATATAAAAACATAAGGCCGCATTTAATAAAATACTAACATTATACTGCCAAAAAAAAATGTTGCATCAAACTTACTCAGAAAAACTTCTGTAAATTTTACGCATGATACAAATTTCGTCAATTGCGTATAGTAATTGATATACATCAGTGGCGGATAAAGAAATTTGGCTTGAGGGAGGGGAGTCACAGATGAGTGACCTGTCAAAGTTCGAGATATATGTATGCCCTACAAGCACCCAATTGGCTTACACCCTCATTTATTTCGCATGCAAATACAAATATAATGTTTTAGAACTTTGAAGTAGGGTGTTTTATAAAAGAGTGTAAAGTGATTTTGTTTTACTTCTAAGTATGTATAGTAGTTTCATTTTGTGAATTTACTTATCTCAAGAACCATTTACAGGGTAGAACAGCCTGCAATATAGAAACTATATAGTTTTGTAAAAAATAACAAGATGAGAATTTTGCATTCTGTTTATTTAAGCCAGTTATATACATACATATTTATCTACTTGTATACAAATATTTCTTATTTACAATGCTTTTCGAATTAAGTATGGAATTATCTTAACAACTGTTCAGAACTTCGATTATAGTAATTTAAATTTCAACAAAATTTTACGCTTTCCTTTTTCGCGAATCTTTCTATTATTCTTTCAGTGTCAATTTTAATATCTCTTTACATATACATCTAGTGTACATGAAAACTGCTACTACCTACCAGGGTTGTTGCGAATATTCGCATTCGCATGCGGAACCGCGGAGCTTCCGCTTCTATAACGAGAATCAACAATTTGCGCGGTAAAAGATAATCTTTCATTAGGTAAGAATTGTGTAACTATCGAACATTAAAAAACTGGATGCATCGCTAGTTTTTTTCTACATAAGTGTAATAATTGTTTTTTTTTTTTCATAAGACGGCTTATTATGATAAAGTTCCGTGTTTTCTTTTATTACTTAGCAGAAAAACACTGTTTTTACTACTCAAATACTCCTATGTGTGCTCGAAAACAACAACATGTCAAAATTTGCACGTAGCGAAATAAAAGTAAAATGGAATGTGAAAAAGTTGACAGCCATTTCACGAATCAAATAAGAATCATTTCAAGGCGAATTTAATATCTATTGAGGAGTGGGACTTGGAATGCAATATATCGTTAGTATATCTAGTATGAAAAGGGCGTAACTCACCTCGTCGCTGAAATACAAAAAGCCGTAACTAACTAAAAATCCAAAATTCACTGTTTGATAGATTATGATGCATTTCATCGAATCATAAGTCCCCACATCGTTTTATGCAATAACAAGATTTTAGTTAGTTGCGGCTTTTTTGCATTTCAGCCACAATGTGAAATACGCCCTATCCATACTATATTAACGATATGTTGAAAATTTGCGTACATTTGCCTCAAAATATCAAAGCACATTGAGCACATGGAATGAAAAAACAAAACGGATTTGATATGGTACTAACAGCGATGAGTAAGTAATTGTGACTGTCTGCTATTAGGAAAAGTCGATCTCAGCTAATAAAAAGCCGAATTAGAAGCTATTCATTACAGGTGAACTATTTCAAAAAGTCACCCGGGATCTAAGCAGATCTGAGACCTTCATCCGTGATTCCAATAATTCAAATTATTATAAAAAAACGGGGTTCCTTTTTAACAAAATAACAAGATTTTAAACTAATTCGGCTGGCAGCCACGACGTTCAAACAGAATTTTCTTCGAAATATTCATTCTCAGAAAATCACATTTTATTTGCCATATCCACCTATTTACAACCTCGCTATAAGCACATTTTTTCAAACCAGTCACAGAAGAAAGGACTAAAAATGAATTACAAATACTAAAATCGAAAATCGCTGATGATATTACAAGTTCTCCAAATTCTGAAACAACCAAAAGAATGAGAATGAATAATTCTATAGAAAATAACGATGTTTAAACAACGATCTTTTCATAATGCTAGATTCTGAAAATGAAAGGCAGGAGGATACATCCGCCTTTGCACCGCCGATGCAATTCTCAGAAAGGAGTTATTGGAGAGAATTTACAATTTTGTCAAGTTTCAAGTTTTTCAAGTTATTCGCCTTGAGCGAGTAGTTATTTAGTGGCGCAGGTTTGATTTACGACACTTTAAGAAACTGGCTTTAACCCAATTCCACTTATTAAATTCAAGTACTAAATTAAAAAAAAAAACATTATTTAAAATGACTACATTTTCCATTCTTTATTTTCCTAAATCACCTAATTTACGCACCTAAATTATTTCTTAAAAATACTTGACATCCGCATTCGCATTCGCGGATGTTAGCTTTTAAACATCCGCATCCGCGGATATCTAAAATTCCACATTCGCAACATCCCTACTACCTACTATACAGCCATGTTTTAAACGGCAAAGAGCTGAAAAGCTTCATTCTGAAGTAGCGTTACTAGTTGGAAGTGTGGCCAGAATTAAAAAAAAAAAACTTTTTAAATCTATGGAAAAGAATATTCGTCGCAGTTACCAAGAATGCCATTTTGCACGCAGGATTTTTTGTATAATAAAACCGGCCAAAAGTCATATTTATCAACTTTGATAAAAGTTCCTCTGAACAAGTTATATTTCAAGCTAGAGCTGGGATACTATCGATAGTACCGCCACTCGATAGTATTCGAAACGACAGTTGAAAACATCGATAGTATCGATAGTAATATCGTCGTGAAAGGCATTGAATAGCGACAGGCAAAATCTGAATATAGTAGTTTTTATATGAAAAATTAAATTCGTTGTTTGTTTGTGCTTTTTGAAGTGCAAAGATTGAAATTGGCTATAATAAAACATTTCTAATACTACAAAACAAACAAAACACAAAAGATATTCATTTAAATTGACTACTCATACTTATAAAAGTTCAACTGAGATCAAATACGGAGGCGCATATCAAAACCCGAACAAGGGAAATTATTAATATTTTACCAGATTATAAGACAACGAATATAGTACTGTTCAAAATAATAGCACCACAACATTTTTAGCAGTTTTGACTATTTTTTGTTTAATTATTGTCTACTAATTTTTTATAAAAGTTGTACAAAACATAAAAAAATACAAAATCATTAAGATTTCAAGCTTTTTAATTCGATTTTCCACAAAAATTTTGTGTAAGTAGTTTTATAGCTTATTAAGTTTTACTATAACTCAGTGTAAGCTTATAGTTGCTAAAAATGCCAATGACCTACATTTTTTTTGCCGACTGTTGTGAATTTTCTTGCATAAAAAAATGATGACATTAATGAAGAGACATTGTGAAGTTTCGCTAAAACCGATATCGATAGTTTCCAAAAACTATCGATAGTGGCGGCGAAATTCAACTATCGATACTATCGATATTACTATCGATAGTATCCCAGCTCTATTTCAAGCTAAATAACCGATCTCCTAGTTGAGAGCCATAGATAAAGGCCCCTACAGACACTTGATCTTTGGTGTAGGTACGTCAACTAGTACATAGCCCTTATTGTGATATTTTTTTTTTAAGTCAAACTTCTTTAGCGGCGGTTGGTTGGTAGGGAGTAAATTGGCGATTTTAATGAAAATTATGCACATGGAAATGATTTCTACGGGAATGGTTGCACCAGTAACAACAGGTTCTCAAATGTATGCACATGGTATAAATTTAACATAAACGTCTAATTAGCGGTTTAAGAATAACATTACGACAAATACAAGAGTGAAGGTAAAGGTTAGAACGTAAATACATACATAGATGAAGAAAAGGACAAAAGCAAAGGTAAGAAAAAAAAACAAAAAACAAAGATGCGTAAAGATAAAGGCGAAAATGAAGATCAAGGTAAATTTAAACACTTTTTGTGGCAAATGGGAAGGGGAATATGTAAAAATAAAGATAAATATGAAGAAAGATACTCGATATTTTTGCCGATATTGTTATCGATATAAAAATCAAAATTTTTATTCATACAATAATCGATATTGTTATCGATAAATTTATCGATTTTACAATCGCTATATTTTTCGATATGTTTATCGATATTGTTATCGGTATATTTTTCTATACAGTTGCCAACGTTGTTATCGATATAATAATAAGCACGCGGTTTTTTAAGGTTTAAGGTGAGGCTTATGCGATGTATAAAAAAATTTTATAATAAAAAATTATTTAGGGGTCGGCAAGGTTTTGCGATATCTCTAGGGTGCTCTTAAATTGAAATTTTGGTATGGGGAATCGGCCATGCGGCTTTTAAAATCTGGTTTAAATATGTTTTCAAAATGAAAACATATCACAAAATTTTCTTTATTTTAAAAGGCGGAAAATAGTCTGTAAAATGGAGGTTTTTCAATTTTCACTGTTTTCACGTGTTGGTGACACATCCCCGATATCTGAAAAATATGTCTAAATTGCATGAACATCTTAAACCGAATCAAAATTGAGGTAAGGTGTCATTTATGTTTTTATTTATTTGCAAAATTTATTTTTATTTATGTGCAAAATTTGAGAAAGGTTATTGAGGTAAAATTACACCTTGTTACACATCTGTCGTATAAAGTCACGAAAATGGTTTAAGATACTTACTTAAAATTAATTACTTCNTATTTGCAAAATTTATTTTTATTTATGTGCAAAATTTGAGAAAGGTTATTAGGTAAAATTACACCTTGTTACACATCTGTCGTATAAAGTCACGAAAATGGTTTAAGATACTTACTTAAAATTAATTAGTTATTTTCCATATATATAAATGTCTAACTACACTGTAGGGTAAGTCTAAAGATTTTAAATGACACAGAAAATCGTCGAAACACGTAAACTTAATATAGGGTCGTAGATTATTAATCTGTAACCGTTTTTCCAGATCAGGTCATTTTCAGAAGATATTTTAATTTTTATGAAAAAAATTTAACGGAGGACAAAATAAAAAAAGGATCAGTCCAGCGCCTTCTTCTCAAACTGCGGGCTGTGTCGGAGCCGCAGCCGCTAAACTTAAATG